TAGGGCGAGAAATTTTCATTGCCAACCTTTGGTGGTGATACTATCGGCGAGGGTGCTCGCCACATATTCCACTATCCCCTCTTCCAGCCCAACCCTCCGGAGGCCTCTCAAGATGGAGGCATGCTGGACACTATCAAAAGCTTTGCGGAGGTCTACCGAGAGAACGTTCTATAGCTCTTCCCGGCAGCCTTCCGCGACCCGATATAGTGGTCCAGAATAAGCACGTTAGCCAGCGTGCCGTCCATCTTTACAAAGCCCCTCTGATGATGGCTGAGCTGGATCGCTGCTCCAATACGGCCCTGAACGATCCTATGAAGGAGCCGAAGCGGTGCAGACCGCTGGTAATGGGTCTATGGTTTTCGGCCCTCCGTCTATCACCATCCTTGGGCACCAGATTGTGCGGCTTGTTTCACGTTGTTGGGTGGATTTTGCTCCAAAGATGGTGGTAATACCACGCTCAACTCGTTGTTACTCATCTTTTTGACGTCAGCTACTTTATTCCATCTGGGCCGGGTGCAGAATTTGCCAGTTGGCCTTCCATTTGCTGACGTCATCAGGTGTGATCGGATAGAACGCAGAGCGTTCTGCTACTTTGGGGTCCGCGATCGGTTCGTCGTCCCCAGCGGGTAAGGACTCCCAGATTCCGCCATATAACGCTTCCACTTCCGCCAAGGAAGGGAGTTCGATTGACTCGTGCATGCCCTGCCCTTTGAGCACGCGTTCTGCGAGGCCAGATATGTCCTTGGCATAGAGGTCCTGCGCCTTCTTGTACTCGGCCGCGCGTTGCCGCTGCCGCCTTTGGCCTGATTGTAGTGCCTACCGGGTTTACTGGCACCTCTCGTGCGATTGTTCTGGTCCGTTTGTTGGATGAAAATCTCGACTCCACCCAACGGTCGAGAGCGACCGTCAGTTGTTCTGTGGAGCCGAGAAGCGCCATATCAATGACGCGACGGATCTCCCCATGCTCAGGAAGATTGAATCCGCTTCGAGCATCTCGCAGGTACTCTACAAAAGTAGAGTTTATGTTCACCTTTGGTGCGAGATCTCTCAGCGGAAACGGAGGCAGCTCTGCCTCAGGAGCATGGGGAGCCGCGGTCGTATTACGACCGGAGAGGTTACCAGACCCGGAATGGTGAGCGCGTTCTCACGCAGCGATACGGGTACTTTAGAACGCGCAGGTTCCATGCCAAGTTGGTCGCTAGGACTGGCGACCACAGTTCTGGGTTGACGATTTTCGATTGAATTGGAGAGTCGCTCTCTCTCCTCTTCCTCTTGCCATCTCGGGCATTTTTTGGCGCACCGTTGGAACCGGTGGCCTTAGAGCTAGTACTAATAGAGCTCGTATTCCTGCCTACATCCGTCCCTACTCCAGCCGTCTTCCTCTTGGCGGGGTTGAGGTCGTGCGGTGAGCAACTCTCCCTCATCCGCTTCTTGCTGCCTTGCTGATACCTTCTGAGCAGAGGAGACTCCATGTCCTGCGAAGAGGCTCGTTTCGCAGGAGGCTGGTTGTTTAAGTTTGTCCTTTCCCTCGGGCACGGGCGTCTGGCACACCACGGAGGATCCGCTAGTAGATGCGGCGGGGGAAGAAGATTTTGCTGGTAAAATCCGAGTACCAGAGGCCCGGAATTGCTTCCGGGCGAGCTCGAGATATCTCTGATACTCGGGCTTCCTCCTCCTGAACCGCACCTGGTCAACGGTGAGATCTGTGGCTTCAGCCATGCACTTATTAACTCGCCCGGCTGGTTCACGGGCTTCGATCCTCGCCATGATGCAAGATCTCTGGTTCTGGCAGAGGACCGCGCATCTTCTCGATCTCACCGGCGTATTCCACGGTGTGCCCTCCGCTCGTGCTGTCGGGTGGACTTGTAACTGCCAAATCTCATTGGACAGTGCTTACATTGGAGCCTGTCTTCGCATGCTCTTGCCATCTTGTGCGTTTTAGCTGCACTGCCGACGTAAAAGCTGTGTCACACGTCGTGCAATAGTTTGGGGAGGACTTGGCGCCAGTATGCAATTCTTGGCGCCGCTGACGGGCTTAGCCTTTGATATGTCTGTCCTCCCCTTGTCCTCACTCCCGCGTTTGCTCGATGCGGGTTGGGCCAGGTGTAAATCTGGCCCGTTGTTAGTAAGACCGGCGCCGAGAACCGGCGCCTTGGTCGATCTCGCGCCACCGTTCTTGTGGGGCGCGGTACGTGCGTTCGATCCGGGAATTAGCCACCGTGACATAATGACACGGGCCCGACTCTCGGTTGGATTTGGAGGAAATCCGGAACCTTCCCGGGTGAGACGTAAGCTCCACAAATACACAAACCGGATGTCACCAAGAAACGCTAACAATCTTGAAAAAGACGTTAGCGCAGCCTACAACACAGCTGGTACTTGTAAAAAATGGTCTGGTAAATGCTTCCTGCTCAAGACTCGAGAGTCAAAGTTACTCCCGCCGTTTACCCGCGCTTGCTTGAATTTCTTCACGTTGACATTCAGAGGCACTGGGCAGAAATCACATTGAGTCAACACCCGCAGGGGCCATCTCAATGCTTTGTTTTAATTAGACAGTCGGATTCCCCCGGTCCGTGCCAGTTCTGAGCTGACCGTTGAATGGCGGCCGAAGAGGACAACCAGAACGCCCTTGCGAGCGCACTCTGGGCCTCGCAGCAAGACGGTTCCGCGGAGGCCAAGGCACGGTACCGAGTTCGGATCCGCAATCCTACCGCACACGCGCGAACGCATACGACAGAACGTTTCACCTCCGCCCAGGCCCGGCACGTCAGCCGCGACCCGCTTCCTCGCCAAGCCCGACACCCCGATCCTCAGAGCCAATCCTTATCCCGAAGTTACGGATCCAATTTGCCGACTTCCCTTACCTACATTATTCTATCGACTAGAGGCTCTTCACCTTGGAGACCTGCTGCGGATATGGGTACGAACCGGCGCGACACCTCCACGTGGCCCTCTCCCGAATTTTCAAGGTCCGAGGGGAAGACCAGGACACCGCTGCAACTGCGGTGCTCTTCGCATTCCAAACCATATCTCCCTGCTAGAGGATTCCCATGGAACTCGAATGCTTATGCAGAAAAGAAAACTCTTCCTGGTCTCCCGACGGCGTCTTCGGGTCTTTTTGGGTTACCCCGACGAACTCTCTTGCGAGGGCCCGACTAGTACGGTTCCGCTGCCGGGTTTCGGAATAGGAACCGAATTCCCTTTCGCCCGACGGGCGTGTTCTTTATATATACACACATACTACATATATTATAAAACAACGCCACATCAAATCGGCTTTCGCCTAGGGCTTAGGATCGACTGACTCGTGTGCAACGGCTGTTCACACGAAACCCTTCTCCACGTCAGTCCTCCAGGGCCTCGCTGGAGTATTTGCTACTACCACCAAGATCTGCACCGACGGCGGCTCCAGACGGCCTCACGGCCAGCCCTTCTGCGCGCACCGCCGCGACCCTCCTACTCGTCAGAGCTTCATGGCCGATCCGTTTTTTACGCGGATCGAGACCGCACATGCCGCTGACGGCCGAGTATAAGCACGACGCTTCAGCGCCATCCATTTTCAGGGCTAGTAACTTCGGCAGGTGAGTTGTTACACACTCCTTGGCGGATTCCGACTTCCATGGCCACCGTCCTGCTGTCTTAAGTTACCAAACGCCTTTCATGGTATCCCATAAGCGTCGATTTAGGCGCTTTACTCGACGTTTGGTTCATCCCACAGCGCCAGTTCTGCTTACCAAAAATGGCCCACTTGGCACTCTGATTCGATTCTCGCCGCAGCTTCATTAGTTCGAGCAAGCCGGAGATCTCACCCATTTAAAGTTTGAGAATAGGTTGAGGTCGTTTCGACCCCAATGCCTCTAATCATTCGCTTTTACCGGATGAAACTCGTCACAGACGAGCGCCAGCTATCCTGAGGGAAACTTCGGAGGGAACCAGCTACTAGATGGTTCGATTAGTCTTTCGCCCCTATAACCCAGTTCCGACGATCGATTTGCACGTCGAATCGCTACGGACCTCCATCAGGGTTTCCCCTGACTTCGTCCTGACCAGGCATAGTTCACCATCTTTCGGGTCCCAGCGTGTACGCGCTTGGTGCGCCTCTCTTCTCGTAATGAGAACGAGACGCCCCGGGAGTGCGGAGCGGCCGCTTTATAGACGTGCCGCCCATCTTCCCTAAATCCGCGCTAGGCGGATCTTTACTTTCATTGCGCCTTTAGGTTTAGTTATGTCCCAATGACTCGCGCACATGCTAGCTAGACTCCTTGGTCCGTGTTTCAAGACGGGTCCTGAAATACCCAAAGCTATCGCGTCGCGATCGGCGTTTCAAACGAGGTCTGTCCGAGAAATCCGCACGACCAACAGTCGTCCGGGGACGGAAACCGGGCGCTAGGTCCGATCGCCGTCTTAGCATCGAACGTGCTTGTCGTGGGTCGGACGCTAATTGAAGAAGTAGCGGCCTCGCGCCATCTGTATACCGTCGAGCGAGTCGGCCGGAACATCGCGGGTTCGAGCACGAATCGCCGAAACGATCGTACACGGACTCCACCGCGAGCCGTAGACCGACACCCAACGGATCGCGACGTCCTACTAGGGGAAAAGTGCACGCGTTCGACGCCGGATCGAAAAGCGAAAGGCGCGGACGACGCGCGAACGCCGTCCGTCGCGCGACCGCTCATCGCCGACGGCCGAAACGCGAATGAATTTCCCCTTTCGACGGGTTTCTCAGGTTTACCCCTGAACGGTTTCACGTACTCTTGAACTCTCTCTTCAAAGTGCTTTTCAACTTTCCCTCACGGTACTTGTTCGCTATCGGTCTCGTGGTCATATTTAGCCTTAGATGGAGTTTACCACCCACTTAGGGCTGCACTCTCAAGCAACCCGACTCTGAGGAGAGATCCTCCCGCGATCGGCAGCGGCCACTACGGGCCTGGCACCCTCTATGGGCTGTGGCCCCGTTCAAGAAGGACTTGGACTCGCCGCGCGACCTCGGGATAAACGGATCCTCCCTAACACCACATTTTCCCGGCGCCCGATATCGACCGCGGGATTCGGTGCTGGGCTTTTCCCTGTTCGCTCGCAGCTACTGAGGGAATCCTAGTTAGTTTCTTTTCCTCCGCTTAGTAATATGCTTAAATTCAGCGGGTAGTCTCACCTGCTCTGAGGTCGGTTAACAATATACAACACAACACCACACACAGATATATATGTCACACGCGATCGCTAATACTAAATCGTATAGCTGCTGCTGCTATACTACTACTAGTCGAAAGCGTTCTCTAGTGTTTAGCGCGTATATGCGATCAGACGTCGTTATCTCGAAAAAAATAATTTCTCTCTCGGACACGACGATCGCAGCGCAAGTTCGAAACGCGTAACGACTACAGCATATATACATATATATATATATATATATATATATGTAGTGCTATTACGATTTTTATCCGTACAGCGCGCGTGTTCGTTCTATGTGTGAGTTTACGATTCGTTCGTATGACGAACGAATCGTCGCTTTCGCGTTTTGAGATGCCGCGACGACGACAAAGACGACGACGTTTACGATATTACATAAATAAATATAATAACTAGCGTCGTCGCGTCGTACCGCCGCGTCTACATCCAACACGCTCCGACGTTTCATTCTCCTCTCTCATGTCGTCGTCGTCGTCGTCGTCTCTCGGATAAAGAGATAATACGACGACGCGAACAGAGATCGGAGAGGAAACCGAGCAGTCTTTTAAATTGATACGACCCTCAGCCAGGAGTGGTCCGGGAACAGTATCCGAGGACCGCAATGTGCGTTCGAAATGTCGATGTTCATGTGTCCTGCAGTTCACAAGTTGACGCGCAATTAGCTGCGTTCTTCATCGACCCACGAGCCAAGTGATTCACCGTTCAGGGTAATCGTTTTTTAATTAGACGATCTCTATATATATAAAATATATATCGATACGTCTTTATTGTTATGATAATGGCTAATGTTATTAAAGAAAATATATAAAAAAAAGAAAGCGCGCATTTCTCACGGAGACTTCGTGTATTTTGCGCGGCAAACGCGCAAAATTATTTTTGCGCGTTTATAACAAACGAGCGTGCCGACGAAGTCTCTCGTGTACGCGCGCATTCTATCCGTATCGCGCTTCTATAGCATACGCGTGTGCAAGGGGTACAAATAACACTACAACAGAGTTGTACATAACATGAATATATATGTATGTATTAAGCGTACAACACGTGTCGTCCTCTTGTACCGTCTTTTCGTATGGCGTAGAAATTTCGACTAACGGGCGAATATCTTTAAAAACAACCGGAAAAGAAGGAAATGAGTCGTGCGGACACGACGACATATCTCCGTTCTTCTCCCATATAGAGTTACCCGTCGAAAATATCGCCATCCGTACAGACGACGACGTCGTAGAGACACGTGTGTACATACGCATACGCATACAACACAATATTATGTCTATGCGATATACGCGTGTCGGAACGTACCCCGAGCGCGCGCTCGCGCGTACTAGAAGCGCTCTATACGGCGTGGTGCGTTCGAAAATTATACGTATTATATGATGGTGGGACGACGAAAAGATTTTCAATAAGATTTATAAAAAAGATACGCACTCGCGTACACGACGAGACGAGGGAAGAGGTTGTGTGTTACACACAAACAACAACACCTCGTTCGGGTAATATACACGTGTGTGCGCTCGATCTTACTATAAATGATTCCTTGTTATCTTTTCGAACGTCGCTACATCATCGCCTATAATAAA